TATATATATTATATATATATAAATATTTTTTTAATAATATTTTTTTATAAATTTAAATAATTTCTATCTTAAAAGATTCATAGATTTTTTTTATTTAGTATATTTAGATGAAATATTAATAATATGAATAATATTTAGATGAATTTATTATATTTAAATATTTTGCACATGTATAACATATAAATATATTCATGGAATATCTTTAAAGAATTAATTTTAGAGAAATAAATATAAAAGTATCGGTTAAAATTTATTTATTTTAAATTACAAACAATTAAGTTTACATTAGATGAAGTAAAATGGAAACAGAATACAATAGAATAGGAAATAGAATACAATGTGTAATAAAAACAAAACAGTTTCGTTCTATCTAGTCTAGTTTTATCTAAGGCAAACTTTAATTGTTTATAACTTAAAATTAATAAATTTTAACTGACATTTTTGTATACCAATTTTTGAATTTGTTTTGGCTTTTCAAATTAAATTTATAGAAATGAATGATTTATATAGAGTGACACTTCTGAAAGTGTCTTATAAATATAATATTATGTACATAATAATGAATATAATATAATACTTTTTGATTCATATTGTATTTATTTTAAATAGAAATAAGATATAATAAAATTAATGGGAAAAAAATTGATATGAAAATAGCAACATATCTATTACGAAGTATAAAGAAAGTACAGAGAAAGAAGAAAGAGGATGTCAATCAAATATAAATAAAATATAATTGATTGAGTATTGAATTTTCAGTAATATCAACATATCGAGAACCAGTACAAGGATGGATTGATAATCTATACGGACCAACGGGTGTTGCAGCTGGAGCTGGTACCGGAATTTTACGATCGATTCATTGCGATGGATCTATACAGGCCAACGTCGTTCCTGGAGATTTAGCAGTAAATGCTTTAATAGTTTCCGCTTGGGATGTAGCGGATCGTCGAAAGTGAGATGCGAAATTTAAATTTTTTTATCAAATATTTAATTTCAATCTTCATAATATTTTTTTCTTATTTTTTCTCATGCGTGATTTATTTATTTAAATCTTTATTTACATTTTTCAGATCTACAATTAGTAAAAAAGAAAAAAACGATATACCGGTTTACAATTATGTTTCAAACGATAATCCTATAACATATGATGAATTGAAAATTTTATCTGAAAAATATGGACTTGAATTTCCCACCAGTAGAGCTATGTGGTATTATAGCTTTCGAAATAACAAATATAAGATTATTCATTTGATCTATGTCTATTTATTACATTTATTGCCAGCACTTTTAGTCGACACAGTCATGATTTGTTTAGGAAAACAACCTAGGTAATAAATTTTTATTTTTTTCTTTATTTCATCTTTTTTTATTTTTTTATCCTCTTTTTTAATTTTATTTTTTGAAAGGATGTTAAAAGTTTATAAAAAGATACATAAATTTATGAGTGTAATCAATTATTTTACTGTCAAAGAATGGAAATTTGCAAATGATAATGTTAAAGTATTAATAAATAAACTGTCAGAGGAAGATCGCGAAAATTTTGCTTGTGATATTACTCAAGTTGATTGGGATCATTATTTTCGAACATATGTGCGAGGACTTCGTATTTATCTCATAAAAGATTCTTTAGACACTCTTCCACAAGCGCGTATTAAATGGCAAAGGTAAGTCTAATTAATTTTTAACCAGTTTAATTTTTTTTTTAATTCTGATAATTAATAATTCATAATAGTCCATGTTGAATATTTGCTTTACAGATTATACTGGAGTCATCAAGTGTTAAAATTAATTCTTGCATATGGCTTGTTGCGAATATGTTGGTTAATTATATCTTTTTTCTTTTGAAGTGATATATGTTAATTTGCGTATTAAATGTGTTTTATACATATATAATGAGTGCACTCAATTACGTACATGGTAATATATTTGTACATTCGTGCATATATATTATTACATCAGTTATAATACCTATGCTTTTTTCATTCATCAAGTATAAATTAAAATTAAGTTTGTTTGAACTCACATTTATAAACGAAAGTAAGGCTATCTTTTTGGATAATTTTAATAACTTAAGTAATTTCGAAAAAATAAAAAATAAAGAAAGGAAGGAGAAAAAAATATAGAAAAAAATAATCAATTTCAATATTAATTTGTTATTTAAACAATTTTATTATTTTATTTGCATTTTTTGTATTTTTTATTTAATTTTTAAGAATACTAATCAGTTTAAGATTTTAAAATAAGTAATAATTTTTTTATTAATTTAAAATCTTCGATCTAAAAAAATGTATGAGCATTAGAAAAATTTATATAAAGACAACTAAATAAATATATTTTGCTTCCTTTCATTTTTTCTTTTTTTTTCTTTTATGAATATTTTTATAGGATAATTTTTTATTTGATCAAAAAATAATTTCATTCATATTTTATAAATATTCAAAACTTATATTTTTATACATTCATTTTTAATAAAAAATATATAATTTCTTTTTTTTAGAAATCAAATTAATTCAATTTATTTTTTCATTGTTATTCATTAAACACAATTAACAATTCTTGCATTCAATTTTTGAAATTTATATTTATAGATAAGACATATAGATAAAGTGTTAATATATTCACGGAAGTATATCTTTGAAAAATTGATAGCAAACATAAAAGTTGGTACATAAATATATTAATTAAACTTATTTATTTTAAATTATAAGTATTTATAATTCAATTTCAATTTTTTTGTAACATTTTATTAACAAATTTTATTTATTCATTCTATAACCATTTAAATATTAAATATAGCAATAATGAAAATTTTTGTAAAAAAAAATATTGCACAAAAATTATCTCGGGAATTTTCACTTTACGGATATTTCAATATTTTTGAAATTCTATATCAATTTCGGTTTTTTTTTTTGTATCATTACTTTATTTATTTTTCTATTATTTTATTCCTTCTGCAATCTCTTAAATATATTAATAATATAATAAAATTAAAATATTAATTATGATATTATATATGTTTTGAATAGAATATATGTATTGAATAGAATCATACCACTCAAAAGAAATATACTTCTATATCTATATATCTATATATAATCACATATAAACATAAAGCTTCAATTTGCTCTTCTCTAAACTTATGAAAATATAACATTTATTATTTAATTATATTGATTATGAAATCAATTTAAATTTGCATATTAAATAAAGCAAAACAACATGATGAATATAAAGTTGTCTCTCCTTACTTCTTACAAACTTTAATTGCTTATACTTAATATATATATATATTTATAATAATATTATATATATATAAATAATAATAAGTTTCAACGATATTTTTATATAATTTTTGTATTTGTTTTGTTATTATGTCTTTATAATTGATTTTCCAAAGATTTTCTGTATTTTCTATGAATATATTAGATGTAAAATTTATTAAAATCATTTGCTTTTTTTTTTAAGTTTAAATATTTTTTAAGCTTCAAAATAAATTCTCTATGTATAATAATTATAATTAAAAACCAAAATTAATATTAAAATTTATTATTTATTACGTTTTTCATTTTTTTATTGAAAAGAGATAATTATAACAAGAATTAAATATAATAAAAACGTCTTAATAACAAGAATTTCAAAATTTCGGATTCTTATTATTAATCTTATTAATATAAATTTCGCATCATATAAATATTGTAAATTTTTGTGAATTTCTATACTTAAAAATTCATTATTCATTATAATTTTAAACGGAATCTTAAGATAAATGGACGGAAAAATGTACTTATTTAAAATATTAATATATTCGCGAAATATTTCTGGAAATCAAATAAAAAAAAGTTAATCAAATAAATTAAGTAAATAAAACAAAAATAAACAAAAATGTTTATTGAGAGTTATTTAATAAGTTATAAATTATTGTATAAAAGCGAAGAACAAGATTGTAATATCACGAGACAAAGGAGAAAACAAAATTATTTATTTTTCATATATTTTATATATTATATTTGTACATTTTTTTATTTTAATTTTTTAAAATATTTATATAATAATATTTATATAATAATTATATAAATTAATAAGTTAATAAATTAGCATCGATTGGCATTTATATATATATTTGCAACTTTTATATTTTTTTCGATTTCTAGAATCAATTTTTCAAAAGTGTTTCACGAATATATTAATATTTTATATGTATATACACTATTACAAAAGTATATAATCTTTATACATGATATATATCAATTTTTCTTATCTTATGGCCATCTCATCTGCTATTCAGTATATTTATATATATATATATAAAATATATTAATATTCAATTAATTTTTTTCTATTTATATTAATAACATGATAAGTTTGAAAAGAATGAGAATGAAAACGACAAACAACAGAAATGATAATGAAATTTGATAAAATTTAAAGATTATTTAATTGTTTTTGTTAATTTGCAGGCAGTATCGATACTGCACTATGTGGTGTTGTTGGACGAGAACCTGCGATAGAATGTGTAGTAGATGCATTTAATGATTGCATAGTACCGATCTAAAATAAAAATTGTCAATTATACACAATAAAAAATAAAAAATAAAGATAATTTTACATATCAAAGGAAGAAAATAAAAAGATAAAATCTAAATAAAAAAATTTCAACATTAAATAAAAAAAAACTTACTCTCAAATGAGCCAAATCTTCTAATCTTGTGAGATCACATAATTCCACATATAAAGAATAAACAATTAACCATCCGTAAATAGAAAAGCAAATGAATATTATCCATAAAATACACATTGTAATATTATAAGCAAATATCATATCATTTACTACACTATAAAATATAAAAGCAAACAATCTAAAAACAGTAAAAGCTGCAAAACTATAAAGCCATGGTACCATTTTTCTTTCATATTCTTTTCGTAAAGCAGCTATTAACATTAAGGATGTTGCAAGTACTGCAATTCCGCTAAGTGTAGAGAACAAAGCAAATACAACTAGAGTATTACGTACTGTAACAAAACATTAAATTAAAATATTATAAATAGTAATTCATTATTTATTATAGTAATAAATAAAAATATTTGCATATTTTTTAAAATGGAATTTTAAAAATTGAATTAAATGATTTAAATTTTTTGAAATATTAGAAGAATTAGTTAAGAATGTATTGTAAATAATAATGTATTGTAATGTATATGTAAAAGAATTAGATAATATATAAAAAATTTTTTTTAAAAATTACTATTAATTGAAATTGTGAAGAAAAAAAATCACAATTTTTTTTATCTGAATCTATATCTATTATATATTATTTATATAATGAAAATTTAAAATATGCCTTTTATAGTCATAATATATAAATATTCATAGTCAGCATATTTTAAAAGCATAAATATTCGTAGTCTATATGTAAGGTACTTAGATAAACTACAAATATTTATGTTTTAAAATATACTGAAATAATAATAACTTTATTTCTAAATATGATTATATAATTATATATATTATATATTATGATTATAATTTATATTACAATAATATAAATTACAAGCATTTTTTTCACATTAATTGCAAATAATTGTTAACATTTATTACTTAAAATTAATTTGCAGAAAATGATCACTCAATATCATACAATGTAATTGGAGTATATTTTAAATTTATTTCAATAGCAATCTTCAATTTCTATTGGATTCTCAACAATTCTTTTTCACATTCATACATATCTTTTTCACATTTATGCAGATTTTTTATCATTTATACATACAAAATTATTATTTTCTATTCCATTTAATATAATCTTGAATTAATGTTAATTGATTTTTTTTTATTTTAGACATCTTTCATTAATTTAAAGCATTACTTAATTAATGTGTATTATTGATTTATTGATATATATTGATTTGCTATTTCAAATTGTACTTAATCTATGATATCTGTGATATATCTATGATATGATAAAATTATAATTGTATAGATTTAAGAGCAATATTTGTCATTTCTTGGATAATTATTTGATATTTTATATTATTGTGTAAGTTGTATATATTATAAAATGATATCAATGTATGCATTTAGAAAAATAACAAAATAAATTTTTTAAATCTCATTTCTGTAACTTCTATAAAAATATAATTATATAAAGTATCCCAAAAATATAATAATATTTGTTGAAATTGAAGATTTTTGATAATTTCAAACATTTTCCTTTGTAAAAATTTTTATTACAAATTAAGAAAAAAATCACAGTGAGCATAGTCTAATCAAACTGCGACGATAACGTTATTTATATGCTGCCGACTGAGCATAAATAAGTCCAAGCAATATATGTAGAAGAAATTTTCTTATTGAATATAATAAATTTTTTTTTATCAATAAAAAGTTAAATGGAATTATTTCATGAATAATGAATAAATAATATTTTTTTACATTACAATTATAGATCAAAAGTCATAAAAAATTGTAATTTTCAATTTTAATTATAATAGCTCATAGCAATATTAGTCAATTTGATGAAATTTAGTATATATATACTATATACTAAATTTAGTATATATATAGTTATATATACATTCTATATATTCTAAATTTCTATATATTATCTATATATTATATTCTATATATTATAGATTTAGATAAAAAAAATTAAAAATCATGACATTTACTTTTTTTACATTTTGTCTAATAATCCTCTAAACATCTAAAAAAAAATTGTTTTTTTTTTAAATTTTTTTTTAACTCAATTTTGAAGAAATTATTTCGTGCAAGTATTTTTATTTATTATTGTATTAATTTTATTAAATTTGAAAACATATTTTTTTACCATGTCGATTACCCACGTAAACAAATTCATAGGATATTATATAATAACCATAATGTGTTGAACCTGGTGTAGCTTGAGAGAGACAATAAAGATCAAATATTGATGTACAAATAGTAAAGATAGCTAATGACTGAAATAAAATAAAATATCAAATATGTAGAATATGGATATCATTTTTAAATTGCATACTTACCAATGAAAATAATGCTGTAAGCATAGCACCTCTTTGAATATCTAGTAAATAAGCATTTGTTAAAATTGGCTTTTGATACCAACATGTTTTAACACTTCGCATTGATCGCGAAGATTTTAAATTTGCGCTGCTACGTGTAGTAACATGGGAGTATAAGGATGGCGTACCCATGCTAGGAGATTTCTTTCCGTAATTCATTTGAAAATTAATACGTTTTCTTTATCTATAATTTTATATAATTTTTTTTCTAATTTTTCTTCATATATTTTGTTTCTTTTATTGAGATCTATTTGTTCAGAATAAAATTTTGAAAGTATTCCGTATTACACTGTAATAGAAAAAGGTTAACACTTTGAGAATAATATATCATATTATTTCCATGTTACGATGATATAAAAAAAGATATTCTAATGATAGTTTATAATCATAATAAAAATTCAAATTAATTAATTCACAAATATGTACAAATATATAAAATCACTGTTTTACTTACTGTTTTAATAATAATCATTTATTATAATTATCAGCCGACGCCCCATGTTTTAAATCTATTTAACGAAATATGTCGATAAAAGTCGAAGACATCCGAACTAAATCATATTTAATTGGAAGAAAATCATTTAGAAAAAAATGAGAATTTTTATCTACTAACATATCCAAATCTATTCAAAAAATTAGTACATATTGGCCAAAAGTATCATATTACATTAACATTATATAACAATATATATAAATAAATATATATATATATATATATATATATAATAGCATACATAGTAGTATGCTAGAAAGAAGAAAAAATGGAAATATTATTTCATTTCTGTAATTTTTTATAGGCACAAAATAAAAACATACTGATTTTAAATTATATATATTTATAGATACGATTTTAATTGTCTTGAAATAAAAAATAAAAAGATAAAAATAATTTACGAATTATAATTTATAAATATTTATACATATTATTAATTGTAATAATTAATTGCAATTTAATTATTGTTAAATCTATAAATACATATTTTATTATATTCTATTATATATTAATTTTTATAATTTTAAATAATCTTCATTACAATATTATATTTTGGAAAAAATAATTTAAAAAAAATTAATTTTTAATTGAAATTAATAATATTCTCTGTATATATAATGATAATATCTGTAATTGTTTTGTTATAATTTATTTAAAAAAATAGTAAGAACAATATTTAAAGAAAAATTATTTATTCATAATTATTGATTATAAAATGAAATAATTTTTGTCATGCAAGAAATAAATATAAATAAATTAAGAATATTATGAAATATTATAAATATTTCTAACATAATTACACTCTTGATAAATAAAACTTTACATTTTTTTCAATTCGATAAGACTAATTTTGGATTTAAATTGCATTAAATATCTCACTTATACATAGACATTTGTAGCACATATCTGATGCAGTATAAAATCATTTTGAATTATTTTTTATTCATAATATAAATAATATTTCTTCATTATATATGTCTTTGACGTGGACTATGTTTATGATTTAAAAATTAGATATACATATATAATGCAGTAATAATAATACTTACATTTGTACATATATATATATGTTAATAATATATATATTGCATAACTAAATGAACAATATTAAATAAATATAAAAATTACATTGAATAAATACATAGTTATTAGTAGTTATTAAATAGAATTAAATAAAAAATTAAAATATAAAATAAATATTTAGATTGATTTGTATGAAACAAAAATAATTTTATTTTTAGAAACTAAATCTTTTTTTTCATTTCAACATGTATATACTACATAATATAATCATATAAAAAAGTAATGGAATATATAATAAGAAATATATAAGAAGAAATATTCAGATTATTTATTTAAAAGAATTCATTTAAATATAAAATTAAACTGATAATGCACATCTAAAACCAAGATTTCCAGCTGTTGTATCAGGAGTATTTTGGCTCCGTGCAGCACATCTATATCGAAAACAATAACTTTTGTGACAAAGATAGGAACCACCCTTTTTCACTTTGTTTATACCTTGACTTGGTCCAGTCTGAAAATATGTTTCATATAATACAGAATGTTGTCAACTTTATAAGGAAAAAGAAAAAAAAAGGAAAAAAAATAAAAAAAAAGAAAAAAAGAAAATACAAATAATTCTTATATTATTACAGGATTAATAGATCCGCCTCGTGTTGTGATTTCAATCGTCCACCAATCAAATGTCCATTCCCAAACATTTCCTATCATATTATATAATCCATATTTATTCGGTGGGAATTCTCTAACGGGTGATGTTCCTTCATATCCATCTTCTTTGGTATTATTATTTGGAAAATCACCTTGCCATGTATTTGCTCTAGAAATTATTTTTATCTATTATATTTTGACTTTAAATTATTAAATTTTGATATATATTCGGATTTTTATTTACCTATATTGACCATTTGGAATTAATTTATTTCCCCATGGATATAATCTATCCGATAATCCTCCTCGACATGCAACTTCCCATTCTGCTTCAGTAGGTAATCGTTTTCCTAACCAATTGCAATAGGCAATAGCATCGTTCCATGATACATGAACAACAGGATGATCCATTCTATCTGGATTATTCAATTTTAATTGTTGCTATTTCCAATTAGGTAATATGCAATCAAAAAGATGAATCATACTCTTAACATCTGATTCAGGACCCTCTGGATGTAGCCAATTTGCATTTTTTACTTGTAACCACCAAGGAGCTTGAGCAACAACAAGCGTTACATTCTCTTGATCTTTTTGTCTTAACAGACCTCCAAATACAAATGAATCTCCGAATCTTTCTGCTTCTGTTTTATAATTAGTGGCATCAACGAATTTTGCAAAATCGCGATTACTCACTTCCGTCTTATCTATGTAAAAACTATTTAAATATATTTGCTGTTTTGGTCCTTCGCCATCAGCAATAAAAATTGGATCGTTTGTACCAATTGTGAAAATACCCGTCTTTATCTTAATCATGTTTTTTAAATGATTTATAGAATTCACAGTCTTTTCATAAACATGAAGAATATCATTCGCCAAACAAGAATTTTGTATTTCTTTCTTATAATAATTCTTTACATTTGTTTGTCTGTCAAAAGTGCGACTATTACAATGACAAGATTCTTCATTTGAATCATCTGTTTCGGAACTTTCAACTACAGAACATGATATTATTATATTTGTGAATATGAGCAATACAATTAATTTTTTTTTTATAATTCTTATTGAATTTTTCATTTTAAAAATAGAAAATTATTAAATAAGTAAATTTAATATAATAATAATTATTTAATAAATTTATTAAATCGATTTAAATTAATCGATTAAAATATTGGTTAAGTGATTATAAAATTATAAATATATTTTAAATTATAAATATTTAAAATTAAACGTTTAATTAATTGTAAAATTCATCATATGCCGAAAGATTTAAGTAATTGTAAATATATACACAAACACATATATGATGAAAAAATTAAAATAGAATTACTAAAATTTTTATATTATAGAGAAAAGAATGTCACAGAATGTCGTAAAACTATATACATTAATGAGCATACCATGCAAAAATGAATAGATAATATAAATATAAAAATAATAGATAATATAAAATATCTTAATATCTTAATAATTTATAAAATAATTTAATATCTTC